ATAATTCAAAGCTAGTAATGGGACTGACACTAAAGCCAATTGCTTTGTGTATGCTTTGGGGCAGAGGGTGGAGAAATTTAAGAATCCAGTGTTTTTTCCATGTATGGCTCCAGTGAGGTTCTATCCAGGATAATATGTTTTTACGTGATGGTGAACACAGGTGTTCATAAAGCCCAAGTGCTTGTACAGTGGGGGATGTAATCACCATAGGAGTTTTCACATATGAGCACATACCTCCTTTTGATTTTCAACATTCAAATTAAATTTTTAGAAAAATATTGCAGATGCAATTTTCATACATGAATACATATTCCAGCATCATTTTCCTTTTGTTCTTTCTTCATTTCTTAGACATAAGGAATTGCAGGTCCTGACTGTTACTGCTAGGGTTCCAGCTTGTGCCATTTGTCTCTGAGAACAAGTCTGGTTCCATCCTCTCTGTACCTTCCCTTGGCACAACAAAATAGCTCATTTTAAAATATCTGGTCACTAATTTAGCTGTCACTGGCAATAACAATCTCTTTAAAATGAAAAATCTTTTATGTCCTCGCTCTCAAGTTAAGTTTCTACAGCAGGTTCAGAAAGGGAGTCTTATACAGGTGTTGTCATGAATCAGGAAAATTAAAACCCAAACTAAATAGCAGGTGATACCTTCTCCCTCTGCTCCTTCCCCATTCTTTTCCTTCAGTAACTGAAAAAAAATCAATCCTAAGAACATATGACTGATAGTCATACTTAAAGAATTTTTCTTCCTATTTCTACTATTACTATAAATTGTTAAAAGGGTTAAATTTCCATTTACTGCTTGCAACCCTGTCCCTAAAACTCAGCCTTAAATAGCCCAAGAAATATTTATTGTATCCTCAAGTGAAACCTAAATACCTTTCCTCTTTTACGATTTCTGAATGACCCAGCAAGGGCTCTAGTAAAGCTTTACTGAACCAAGCTGCTAATAGTTATTTAATGTTGTTCTGTAGCCTGAAAGAATCTCAGTAGATTTTTTTCCTTTTAATCTCTTTGAATTGCAGGCTCATAAACCTCTCTGATGAGCCTGCCAGTGTTTTCTTAGATCCTGCAGTTGAGACAATGGAGTTGCAGAATCTTTTCACCTCTTGTTGTCAGACAAATCCAATAGATGGCAAAACCAGGCAGGCTGTCCTTGTGAATTAAAATTTGTTTTTCAAGTTACGGTAGATGATCAGGTCTTCGCAATTTTCCCTGTATGTTCGGGAATGTGTTTCAGAAAGTACAGCTCAGTAGACTGAGACCTACAGCTTGAGCAGACGGCACATAAGTAAGCCTACCACACAACTCGGTCTCAAATAACCACCTCCTCCAGAGCAAGGGAGGTAGCTGTGAAGTCCCTTATTTCTACGTTTCAGTCCAGAACGATGAGCAGTTACATAGAAGGAGCCAAGAACTGTTAAGAGTTCTCTACAACCTAGTGAGTAGGTAAGGCAATCCCTTGGGAATTAACATAAAATCATCTAAGCCTCTGATTTATCAGCAACTGCTCAATAAGTAGCTCTGGACTAAGAAATTATTTCACTGACAATTTTCGTAGAAGGCTGGAGGCAACACTATGTGCTCTAGAAAGTTTGATGTTATTAAACTATAAAACTTGCTTAAAAACTCAACTGACTGAAGAGAAGGAACACCTACTTTCTCAATAACAACCCGATTTAAACCTTAAATAAGCACTAAGCTTCTGAGTCTTTGCCAAATCCAAGGCATTTCTGGGTATGTGCAAAAGATCAGCTTTCAGGCATTTCTGCTTCTTTAAAATACAATGTTGGGGAGTTGGAGCTTCCAGGTGTCAGGCAGCAGCTGGGAGGTTTTGTGTAGTAACTTGTAAGGGGTTTGTGTCCCTTTTTTTTGTTTGTTTGTTTTTTGTATCTATATTACCTTTTCTGGCTTCACTTGTAACTTTGTTGACAGAATCTTACATTGTAAAGTTAAAGAACTTGGTGTAAACTTTGAACAGTCAAATATGAGTGTGCTGACAAACTGTAAAAAACAATTTGTATTGAACAGTTTGCATTCGATAATTTTCATAATTTTGCATTCATAATTTTCATTTCATGCTGGACTCGGTGTTGGAAGAATCCAGGGGATCAGATTGGCAACAGATCTCACAGGTGCAGGCCAGAACTGACCTTTCTATGCTGAGACTCTTTATCATAAAAAAAACCCGCTTGGACTAGTCTTCCCCTAAAAGCGTTTTTCATTGATCTTTTGTTAGGAATATCTTTTTGCAGGAATCTTGGCGGTGCTCTCACATGCAATCCTAACACTTACTTGGTGCTTATTTGGCAGGGGGGTTACTAGACTGCTTCTTTGTAAAGGAGAATGGGTTGTCTGAGAGGGTTTGTGGGGTCTCCAGCTGGAGATATTTAAAATCTGACTGGACATGGTCCTGGGCAACCTGCCCTTGCTGACACAGCTTGTGCTGGAGGGTTTGGTTAGGTGACCTCAGCAGTTCTGTTATTTTGTGCAGAGTACAGGGAAGCACATTCGGTTTCAGCTTGCGGAACTGTACTTACAGCTAGGCTTTTAAAAGGTATTTGTGGCAAAACAAAAGTTTGCCCATAATTTCACATGCACAGAAGTATTGGTTTCAGTAATAAATCTTCACCGTTTGCTTCTCCTGGCTACACAGCAGGACACTCCCCAGCTGATGCAGAGATATGGAAACTAAGATTCTAGAGAACTGCATTTTTAACTGATAGCGTGGTCTAGGTATGACTCTTCTAGTAGTGACTAGATTGACTGCTAGGTACAGAGACTTAATTTATCAGGAAGAAATAAGGACCTGTATGTGTCAGGGTTGAACATCTGTCATGTTTTCTTTATAGAAGATAATCTGACAAAAGAATGGCCACTACATGCACAAATTTATCTTGAGGATATGTCCTGGAATGAAGGTATGAGTGCCTTACTACTTGTTCCCACTGCCTTTCATTGTCACTGCAATTTTTTCTGCATCTTATATCATTATGTTGTCTTACTGTAAGTTCTACTTTTTAATATTTTTTTCAGATTTAGCTATTCTCTCTGATTACCTGAATTCAAACTTATCTTTTTGTGATGCTTTGCATTCCTGATTCACCTCTTCTCTTCCTCACCACCCCCCCTACCCCTTGCAGCACCACTTTTCACCTAGCTCTCCTCTTGTAATATAATCATTTAAATTTCCAGATTCTTCCCAGATCTCTCATGCATCTTCTTGCTCTTTCCGTGATGGTAGAATGCAAGTGTTTTCATACAGATTTTTTTTTTTTCATCCTCTATATATTTCACCCTTTCTTCCTTTGTATTACTCCAGCTTTTACTATTTACATGCTTTTTGAACAAATGGCTTTTTCTAATTCCTTTTTTTAAGCTGTGAGGGGAAAATCGTATCTACTTTCCCTTCTGTTTTGTTTCCTGGCTTAGCAGATGCTTTGAAACCATTCTGGATCTGTCATATGTATGACTAACATCCCTTTGGGTTTTTTAATATCTGTCTGTTTCACTGATGTTCACCTCTTTATTATTTAATTTTTTTTAAAGAGACTACACTGACCCTGACTGTTGGGTATAAGAATGCCTCACAATCACTGAAACATTTTCAAAGTATAGTTATTTTTTGAGCAACAAATGCTAGCACAGGTACTGATAGTTACAATCCAGTAGTGGGAGGTCATTTGTTACTAAGAGCAGCTTTGTGAAGAAAATCTAGAATAAATTCTTGATTCTTCTCAAGCATTAAAGGCTTTTCTGTTTTCTCTTTTGGCAGATGAACAATGTTATACTCTCTCATGTCGATGTGGTGGGAATTACACTGTCTGCAAGAGTGAAATCAAAGACATATCTTTGGTTTGTTGTGACACATGTTCACTTGTTATCGAGATCCTTCAATGATTGTTTCAATCAAGCACATTAAGAATTACAAACTTTTAAAAAGACTGGACAAATGGGGGACAGCATCTGCTAAAGAAATGTATGTTAAAAGGAGGGCACTACAAGAACAAGTTCAATCAGGCTTAAGACAGGAAAGTGTGTCCACCATTTACTAACATAGTGCTGCAGACATGAAGCTGTTTTGTTGGGGTTTTTTTTTTGACTTCTGCAGCTGAAGAGCTACTTATTTAAAAACTCCAGAACAGAACACAAAGTTCTGTACAACTGGAATATATCTCATACTCTAAATGACATTTTTCTCCCAGCAACCAACAGAGTAGCTTTCAATTTCAATGTATATCAACTATACCTTGGGCCCTACTTCTTAGGTTAAATCCTTCTAACAGCTCAGATGACAACATTTAATCGGAAGGTATACATGTGAGAACGCTTTGAAGATAATGAAGAATAAGGTGCATTACTGGGGAACAGGAACATTTTCTATTTCTATGCTAAATACTTAACTTCATTAAATCCTCACAAGGACTTAAGCCCTGGAAAGGGGTGGCAGGGACTGGCACATCTAACAGGCTGGTTTGTCAGTACTGAGTAGCAGGTAGCTGTAACGGTGCATCTACATTTCAGCTTGGAGCAGGAGCACGTTTAGAACTGACTCAGTCCATCCTGTGAACAAATGCAGGCTTCATTCCTTGGATGAAAACTAACCAGGAAGCTGTGCTCTGACACCTACAGGGCATACACACCACCAGGCCAAACGGGAGCCACTTTAAGGAAAACCCAACAAAACACATGTGACCAGCAGATCCGGAACCCCACTGTGAGTGTTTTCAGTTCCAATCCTAGCATGCCCCCCTACCTGCTAATGCAGGCATAGCCTATGTGTGGCTCTGGATGTGACAATGTCATAGTGCACTGTGCCTTTTTCATCCCTTGTTAACAGTGCTAACCTCGGCTGCTTGTGAAAACCAAAACTTTCTAATAAATCCAAGCACTTACTGTGAATAGCCAGAGGAAACAGGGTAAGAGATACAGCATTTTGATGACAGCAGTATATCATTCCCACTTTCAAGTTAGATATAATCTCAGAAAGAGACATCTTTGTCAAGTAATACTTGGGTTTATTCTAAACAAAAATAGTTCCATTGATTTTAGTAGAAAATATTATGAAAGTTGGCAATAGTCACTTAAGTCTTTTAATCATCAAGAAATCTATGGCCGTTGGGGCTTGCACGTAGAAATCCAAAGTCATTCAGAGGCCATATCTGTAAAATAAAATAGTTACAAGAGATTTTAACCACAACTCAAAGTTCAGTATTTTCATTCATTATTGCTGTAATTGTTTCATAAACTGCATAAATTTTTTAGCTCTTTGGTTGACACCATATATAAACTTCTCTCACCTGTGTGTTTCTTTTACTAGGAGTAATAAATACTATATATCAGGAGGAACCTATCATAGTGGCTGGAGAAAACACTAATTTATACACAGCATGCTTTGCTATGGAGAGCCTCACAAATTACATTTTTTTTTTTTTCAGCCTTGGAAATAAATACATTCCTAGAAAATATCTTTCAAATTCAAAGTTTTCTAGCTTAAACCTCTTAAAAGACAAAGTATGTATTTTTGATCCAGAACTACCTAGGGAAGGTAGTTCTGTGAGGTGTACATTTGTATTTTCAAGATGGGCATTTGAACTGCAAACACTAAAAACTGGAAAAAAAATTTCCATAGGCTTATAGGTAAGTTTATAGAATGTTGATAGTTATAAAGAGGTAGAGTGCCTGCCCCTGTCAGGGGCTCTCAACCAAGGAGCTGCTCCGAGAAGGGGACTACTACATAGAAAAAGGAGCACAGATCATGACCAAGTACAAGCACAAGTGTCAGGAATGATGCTCACTAGGAAGAAAAAAAACTTTCCAGAAATTAGCTGTTGATACAACTGAATGCTCCCAGGAGTACTTTCCTCTGAACATTCACTAACTACATGTAGGGTGGTCTTGGATGGAAAAAAAATAGGGAATCGAGGACATTGTTTTACACTTTGTCCTTTGCCTGCCCGTGTCTCTGGCAACCACGTTCTTTCAAAGATGGCACAAGGGGATCAGTGGGAAGAAGGAAAAGAGATGATGCTGAAGAAGGAATGCCCTCTGTGGCTCTAATCCCATAAAAATCTCACAGCCCCTGCTCAAGATGAGGCAACTTAAGACAGAGAAAGATGACACACTACCTGGTTTCAGAAGCATCTGTCAGTACAATGTTGATCATGCTCATTTTCCTTAGAATTTGATCTTAAGGAAGGTATCATCACCTTCCTGGAACAGCCGCTTTTAAACTGAGTTCGTGGCACAGCCACAGCACAGAAGGAGCCTTTGCTGCCTTCTGGGTGGAGTGAAAAAAGTAATTTTCTCAGTTTAAAAAAAGGAAGCACAGTGCCAAGGTTTGACATTTCAATCCCATTACTTGTCCTCAGCACTAAAGACAATTACAGAAGAGGCGGAGGCAGCCAAGGATGGGTGTAGCAAGACGTAACATCAATTTACTACCAGACTGGGACTGTGTATGCTCATGGCTCCCTAGAGTTGCCTCTGTCTTGCCCCTTGCAGCACTAAATTGCCATCAGCTGAGTTGTGCCTGGCCCTGGCAAAGACAGAAGGATGAGTCATCTCAGGACCTTAAATTCTGTGGCTCTGAAAAAGGCTCAAAGCTCTCCTGTGCAAGTATTTTAGACAATACATGTCTGGTGTGTGCAGTTAGGGAAGAGCACGGGGAACATCTGCTGATACACAGAGGTAACGCATTGGCTCTACGTGCATGTTAGGCAGTGAGCTATTTCATATAGAGAGATACGAACCAACAACAGAAGGATAGTTGTAGTCCCAGTTCGAAGCAAAGCTACGGAATTCAAGGCTTTCCAGAGGGCCTATGCTGGCTGCAGGCTGGGTGTCAGGTCTTTGTTGGGCCTCAAAGGCAAATAGGAGTAAAAGGGAATAGGAATGTCCCATATTACAAATCTAAGATGATCTGAGTAAAGGCCCGGAGAAGGAAGTTACTTAGGCCATCATTCACTTTGGCAAAAATCTTGACTTTCAGTGAAAATAATCAAATTTAAGTATTATTTTGACAATTTAGTTTCAAATTAATCACAGTAATTTTAGTGGTAGAGTTAGAATGAAAATGATTATCTAATCTGCATGCATAAGAGAACATGAGAAACAATACTCATGGTTGGAAGGGAGATGGAACAAGCCTTCTCTGAGAAACAAAGATGCCACTGTATATAGTAAATCCCATGGTTTTTAAAGTTATGACAGAAGTTGACTGTGACTTGTTCATTCAAACTGGCTAGTCCAATTAGTACCTATTTCCCCTTGCCTGCTTTGGTTTGGTCACGAATTGATCTGATGGATGGGGGATAAATAGGGCGAAGTAGCTCTTCTGAAGGTACACTACAGGTCTGTGTTTGACATGGAGCTTAAGTCCAGGAAAGGCACAGGATAGCCTACCTAGGACAGGATGAAGCATGAGTTCTGTCAAAGTGGGAGTCCCTCAGCTTTTACTGAATTTGCAGCTACTTTGATTTCAGTGGCCTTTTTATGGAATGAACTTGTCTCTCAGAGTGGCCACCGATACAGTGGCAGGGAGAAAAAGGAGCAAACATAATGAAGTATTATTATTTCTGTATGGGTTAAAAAATGGTGCACGAACACTGAGAATCTTAGGTCTAAACTTCACAGGTAAGCTACAGAGAGAATTAATATTTACGTTTTGCCAAGAATAGGTTGCCTAAACAAACTTGGTACAAGCTGGCTCTCTTCTGTTGAAATCCATTACTTCCAAATTAGATTGGGTTTTCTGCATCCGTTACTAAAAACGTTAACAGCATTCAAAGGTACTATTACATCTGTTTCTCTAAAATCCACTTTAAGATTAAAGCCACATAAGCTTCTACTCTCAAGGCAGTAAAAGATTTTGCATGGAAGAGAAGCCAAACCTCTAGCACCCTACATTAAAAAGCATATATAGGTTTCTTGGCCGGTGGTCTACTAATTAGCTGCCACCATGTGGACTTGCTGTATTCTGCTGTTCTTCACTGTCATGCTCAACAGCAGCACATAATAGCCAGATCACTGTATTCTAATGTGAATTACCATAAACAACCCAAACTATAAACACTCATTTCAAGAATAAACTCAATTTAGGCACCGTATACTTAATTCTCATTAAAACGTTAATAATCACTACTCTATGCACCATCATAAAACAACTGCTGTAAAGCTTGGTTAAATAATTATTTTGATTAAGTATCAAGTGATTGCATACTATCTTTTTAGACAATATTCTGGAGTCCTAAGCTGCTGCTTCAATGTGTAATATCTGTGTGTAAGTTCCATTCATTTTAGAGTTTACTGCTTGCGAAATTTAAGGTTCAGTCCTGTTAGTCACTTCATTAAAGTCCCTCAAACATCTTCCTTATTGGGAGTGCAAGCTGGACACAAATTTATTGCTGTGGGGAAATACTGTGAATAATTATGGCTGTCCACATTCATAGGTTCTTAATATATACATTATTTGCTAACAGTTCCTTTAAAGTAATAATAAACAGTTTTTCTATACTAGTATCAGTTGGACAAATAGGGTTTTTTTAATCAGATTATTAATACTGCATTCTTATAAAGAGGGCTGTCAGCATATTAGCATCATTTGTATTTTAGCAGTTCATAACCCAAGCTAAAACTTGGGTCATAAAAGTAGCCCTGTTTAGAATCAGCATTTTCTCCTCTGGTGTACACGGTAAGGCAAACAACACAGAGGAGGAACCAAGGGCACTAAACAAACACTGGGGAAGAACTCAAAGCAAATGCGATCCAGAAAGAACAGGGGTCAGACAAAACTTGGTGGTGGGGCTGACAGGGCACATGTTATTTGGGGTTTCGTAAACAATTAGTGATTATGGTCAATAGCTACAAGGGGTTTTTTTGAAAAGTCCTGAATTGTGTTCATAAAAACTGTAAATTAACTATATAAAACTTTGTTAAACAAAGTGGAAAGATCTAATCTTTCCTGTGCATGTAATACAGCTGTGCTAAATTATGGTTTTGTGGATGTGTTGCAATATATGAAGAACAGTTTTCAAAGCCTTTTGTCACTGTTCTGAATAGCACCATTTTAAATCTAGCTTTCTAAGAGCTGGTGCATAAATCTATAATACATACTCCTTGTGTCTTAGATTAAACTTTTTACAGAGAGGAAATGGTGTTAATTTCTTCTTTTTTGGTAAATGAGTAAATAAGGCAAGTAATATGAAGAAGTAATTTAGTGTGAAATAAAGCTGTAGGATTGTTGAAACAGAAGGAGAAGGAACCATGGAGGTTTATACAACACAGTATTAATTCAAAGCATTTTCTGAAAATAAAAATGTGGCAGACAGTTAGGGTGGCACAGATTTGACTTTCCTGTTAAGGCTTTATCACAGACTTAGTTAAGCAAGGCAGTCTACATGTCTAAAGTATGTATGCAAGTCCTAGAAAGATAATGTTTTTTTCCATTTTGGTTTCTGAACTGTGGAACTACATTTCTCAAATTACAACAGGGAAATACGGAGCTGCCCTTTTCTACCATTTTGCAGAGGCAAGAATCAAATTAAGGATGGAATGTATATCCATGCAGTAGAGTGTGTGTGTGTATGTTTGTGTTTTTATCAGGTTTGGATTTGCTTGCAAAATTATTCATTCGGCTTTCAGAAGCAGTGATTGCTCAAAAAAACAAGTCCTCAAAAAAAAACCCCACCGATATTGAATTATCCTTCTACAGCAAGTGGCTGGTAGGTTCAAACTTTCCTTTACATTTGCTTTGACCAAACAGTTAAGGAGGCAAGTCTTAATACCCAACACCCAGGCATTAAAAATGTATTAATGCAACTATTTTTAGATACTATAAATACCTTAAAACAAATGCGTCCTCTTATCAGGCCATAAGGAACAGGTCCATAGCACCTGGAATCTGTAGAATTCCTGAGATTATCACCCTCTAACCAAACATGTCCTTTAGGCACCTGTGATTAAGCAAGAGTGAAATGTAAAAAGAAAGTAGAATAGAATGGTATTAAGCAAAGTTTGCCTTACAATAGATTTTCTGATTTCTGTGTTTGGTATTTCAATACTGTATAATGAACTAATTTTTTATTGAATCTAGTAAGACACAGTGCCAGATCTGGAGGGATGAGGAGGAGTGCTCCAAAGTATCTGTTCTATCATGTGCTCAAAAACCAATGGTTTGCAACAAAAAATCCAAAATGAAGATGTAAGAGGTTAGAGCAATGTGACAGGGTCATTAATTTAATAGACTTCAAAAGAGGTCATTAGGATGTTGACTGAAAATCTGCCCTCCTGTCGCAGTAACAGCATGAACAGGGCAGCCACACACTCATCAACATCCTGGGGCCAGCACCAAGGCTAGACCTGTTAGTAGATTCATGATGAACTAACTGGTAATTGATTGTGACATCAATTATGAATAATCTCATCATTTTATCAGAGTAGGCTTGTCAAAGTTCTAATTAAGATCACAGTTCATTCTATGTGCAGGCAGAATCCACAACACATTATATTGCAATAATGATGATCACAAAACAGCAAATCCCTTTTTATAATTTGAAAATTAATGATGGTGACCTTATACTATATGACAAAGACCTTTCATTGCCTATATATATTATGCATTAACTATATTACATACCATAGATTCATGGCATTCACTGACTCGTTGACAAAATGAGAAATAGCAACATCGCTGTATTAGTTACCTAAACAAGAGTATAAAACTTTAATCTATAAAAAAGTTGCTACTGTAAGTCTTAAACCAAGATTTCTGCTTGGAGTATACAACACTATTTTGATATGTTTTTTTAAAAAAAAACATTTCAGGTACAAATAACCTCTTACAGGTTACCAAACAAAATACTTTATAATTATTTTTCCAACCAGTTTTTGTTTCTAAAATTCTAAACCACGCTGCAAATTTAAAAGTAGCAACATAGTTTTAATCTAGATAATATTTAAATGTGGACTTTAAGTTAACATAGAGTTTTCCAAAACCAAATATATACTTGAAACATTACTATGCCCAATTCAGAGAAAAAATGGGGAAAAAAAATAAAAAAAAATAATCTTCAAATGAAACTCAGACTTTGAGCAGTATAAACACTGATGTTTTAGAAACAAGCCAAATGGACTCATAAGTACAATAGTCTACATGTACAGGACTCAAGGATAACAGACTAAACAAAATACCACACCACTCTGGTAGCAAAGTTGGATGTAAACCATTAAGAACAAAACCAGGTCCCCCAGATAAACATTTGAGGGAAATGCAGTTGAAGTGTAATTGTTAGTACTTACAGGTATCTGGCCAGGTAACACTTAGTGGGAACCCCGTCTTTAAATAAACCTTTCAGGCTCTTGCTTAGTCATGCTCCTGCCTGTTAGCAGACTGGGATCCGAGGACAGCACCCTACCTGAGGGTCCCGCTGTGGAGCTGTGGCAAATGTATAAGCTATGGATTAAGAACCAATAGGTTGTCTCAAGTTGACAGTGGCAAAAAGAGAGAATCATCACGGAAAGCATGTGAGCCTGCCCATCTTTTCCCAGCCTCCCCCCGTACCTCTCTGGCGTCCAGGATTGCAGAGTGGTTTGGGTAGGGGCTTTAGGCATGTCAGAGGTCACACATCCCTGCCCCATTTTAAGGTCTACATATGGAGGTGTAGACCAGCAATGTGTCTAAATCCTCTTGAAACCTACAGATACTGTCTCCTTACACAATCCCCTGGATAAAGGAGCACCGCCTTGTTGGTTTTCAGCTGATCTGCCAGCTCTGTCAAAGTCCTCTACTTTGTGTTCTCCCAGTCCTTCAACGCAGGAATTCCATATCCACCTTGTCTGCCACCTTTGTTGTTTTGTAGGCTTATCAGATCGCTGGCACATGCATGGAAGAGCTTTCTCAGGGAAGGCCAGCTGGTTTCAGCTAGACGACTTTGGCCCTCCTCCTACCCAAGCAGCTTTGCAAACAAAATAACCAACCAGAAGACAACTTAAAATAAGTAATTAAAAAAAAAATATTCATAGTCAAATGACCCTTGTAGAATATACATCTCATCACACATGGACACGTTTCTGATAGGTCTTTGTTTGAGAACGTACCGACATTCCTATCTTCCTGAAAAATTCTGGGGCATACAGCCTATTTAGAATGTCCAGCATCAATTGTTAGGTTAGTTGGCTATTCATCTGTACCCACCTAAAACATTCCTTGTGTCTATAGTCATACATGAGTCTGTTTCTCAGGTGCACATTACAACGCAAAGCAGCGTTCTGACCTTCCTGATGCAAACTCTCCAGCATCTACCAGCGTTACAAATCACACAAACTACTGTCATTTTGAAGAACTATCTCAGCAATATGCAACAAGGAGAAGCATGAATTACTATGGAAGGAAGATTTTTTTAAAATGAAATAAAAAAGCAAATTTACGTTAACATTTCACATTTCTGATAAAGTGTCACTCCCTGCAGTGTGCTACTGTTACACACTGGACACTGCCACCTCCCTTCTGCTTTACTGGTTCCCATGCTTTCTCACTTTCCTCAATACACAGGCAGAGTGTGAAGCTCATCTGTTACCACGTGAAATAAGGACCTACTCATAGCACAGGTATATCCAAACACTTCTAGACTTTTCCATCTTTCTTCCATGCTCCAGAAGTATAAAAAATAAAGTGCTTTTGTCAGCTGTGCCATATCACTACTTCCAATACTACCAATAATTACATGTCTAGACAAGATGTTCATAGTTTGCATTCCAGATAACATATCCAATAAAGTATATTCCTTTACCCTGGAATTCACCATTTATGTTGAGTTTCGTAGTTCTCCATGGAAGGTATGACAGGACCCTATACCTCGATATCTGTCGTTAAGAGTACTGCCACAATGTATGATTCAGCTAGAGATAATACAGTATAATACCTGCGTATGGTGCCTGGCCATCATCTAGGCACTTCACTACAACCTAGAATTAAGACAAGCAAGAAAAAAATCACATGAATTACAAGAAAATGTAAAACCAAATACTAGTGACAGGCCATAATAATTAATTTTTAAAAATTGTTTATATCCTTTTGAAATAAAGGCTAAAGCCAGAATCCTTCAAGGGTTTATGCCAAGTTATGTCTAGACCACATCCCTCATTTCAGTGGGATTGCCCACAATGAATAAAGTTAACTGAGTATCAACCTTTGCAGAATCAGGACCCAATCTGAAATGCCTCAAAGCTATGCAAGCACAGTAGCTAGGAATAAGATAAATTTGTCACCAAAGAAAAACAAACCACCCTATTGAAAACTTCTGTTTGTAGTAAGAATACAATAATTACACACCAGTAGGCTGCTACTGCCAGAAAACCCAAGACAACAGGGGAGAGCCACTTGCTTGACAATTCACAATGTTGCGTTTGGGTATCTAGAGGCCTTGGACCATGAACCTCTTAGACAAAATTAATTGTATCTAAGAAGTACAACTGAAATCAGAGTTAACCATTACTACACAAAGGTGGTGACTACAAAAAATACTGATGAGACTGCCAAAAGCATTTAACTTAGGATGGGCAGCATTTCAGTTACACATAGGCCAGAACTAAGATGTGAGAGACTCACAAGGCCAACAACTGAATTTTCACATAACTTAACGAGTTGGTCCCATGCAAACCCAGCAATTCCACAGCAGTGCAGGTCCACGTGAAAACACGTCTGATCCTCTGCAGACCCTCTGCCTCTGCAACCCTTGTGCCTCTGGTTTTGTGCAGATTATCTGAGGATTTATTTCCAAGGAACAGCAGTTCTCAGGCAGAAGCAGTTATCTGAGGTGCAGCTTATATGCATGAGAATACAGGACACTGATCAGACGTGACTCTTCCCCCTTCTCCCTTCCGAGGCTCGGAGGGTTCTAGTACAGGAGCAGATAGACCAGAAGAGCAAGATTATCATTTACAACAGCTGAGCTTGTAGCAGTAGCTTGTTCTGTTTCAGCTCAGATAAATAAGCATCTTTCACTCTGACAAACTGGCTAAATTTGCAGGGCTGTTATTTACTTAGTGGTAAAGTAGCAAAACTGAAGTATAGGTCAGGTACTTGATGCATACTTACTGGCATAAAACATTCATTTACATAAATGGCAGGGGTGGGGGGGGCTGGGGGGAAAAATCAACAAAGAATTATTCTTCTGGTCTTTTTACATGACACCAAACTGTTCTCTGACTAATCTCAGTAACTTCAAAACCAAGACATAAGATGCCTGTGCTGCATTAACAGGTATAGAAGAAAACTAATACACTGCAAATAAAATTAACAGATTAAATTTTCTGCCTCAAAAATACCTCCAAACCAAACGAAATTAAAATAGGTTTTTGTGGTTTGGGTTGGGGATTTTTGTTTTGGTGGAGGTTTTTTTTTGGTTTGTGATTTTGGGGGACTTCGGGGGGTGTGAGGTACTAAAGATTGAGAAATAGGGATTTTTAATAAACAAGCGGAGAATTATAAACAATCTGTTGCAATCTCTCCTTTTGGACAAGCAGTCTGTGTTTGTCAAAGGACATCAGCATGTACAATCAGCTGGGAGTAGATGAAGTTTGAACTTTGGTAAGGTCACAGGTATTCACATCACCTCCAGCCATATCAAAGTTTCAAACTTAAGAAGAACTTTAAACCATTCCCATCTTTTCTTTTCAGTTCAGAGGCTTCCTTCTTGAGCTATGATAAGACCTAATCTCGATGCTGGACAAAAGAATAAAGTCTGCAAGTTCTCATCTATCCCTACTAAGGTCTATTTAAGTGCCTCCTACTTTGGTACAAGCAACAAATGTAATTGCTTCATGGCCTGCGGGTGTTCATCTAACAAAAGAAGCTTTTGTGAATAAACCACAGGTGTTACCTTTCTTGATTAAAGTGAAATATGATGAAAGAATCTACAATATCAAATGACAAATTTACTAAATACTGGTTAAA